AATAATAATAATAATAATAATAATAATAATAATAATAATAATAATAATAATAATATGGAATCCATTTCAGAGTAGAACTGGACTGGAAACATTTCAGGGCTTGCTGGAATACTGTTTCTAGCCCTAAAAATAAACATCTATGAGAGATTTATACATACATATAAGGAAAAGGGGTGTGTGTGTGAATAGAGGCATTCTAGGCATTTTTTCTAACAGTAGCAAGTGGCGTGCTTGTGTTTTGCAGTAAATGGTTAATATGGGCCCATTCACAGTGGAAAAACGTACAAGATACATCAGCTCAGAATGTAAGGTCATGGATTCATGTACTTTTAGGGCATTCAACTTTTTGTACAATTGGAGCAAGGGATCCTTTGTGTCCACAGACTCCTTGGGAAAAGGCTTGTGATGCTATAACGGGGTGAAATTAAATAGTTTACCTTAAATGTCACCCATGCAAGCTACCTCACTAATAGTCACAGCTCTGAGAGCAGATGAATTTAACACGGGTGTTGAATATGTTGTAGGCTGTGAATCATCTTGTCACTGTCAATTTTCTGGGATATCTCTATTTTGCCAGAAAAGAAAGTTCTTCTTAATTCTGAATGCGTCTCGGGGGGATAATTGCAGTCTGTTTCCCCCTATTTAGAACTTTTGATGTCAGGCAAGGGGGAGGGGAATTGATTGCTCTTGTCAATTTCACTTAACATGCCCTTGATTATATTTTGGTGTTGTTACTTTTGTCATAATACAGGTACACGAATTGTGTGACAATTTCTGCCACCGGTACATTAGCTGTTTGAAAGGGAAAATGCCAATCGATTTGGTGATAGACGATAGAGAAGGCGGATCAAAATCAGACAGTGAAGACATAACAAGATCAGCAAACCTAACAGATCAGGTATGGTCATCTCCAGCCTTGCAGTTGCCGCGCAAATCTGTATGCAGATCATTTGCCGGGTCACTACGCCCCCTTTTATTATTTGCATATGATTAAGTCCCTTTTGGATAAATTTCCATCGAAATGAAAATTTTTGAATAATGTGGCTATTATTACTTCATTAAGGCTTGCTCCGGGATTCGACCTGGCGAAATGAGCTTGTAAAAGCATCGCCTCCAAACTTGACCTGTTCCTTGTCGCTTTTAATTTTTGTCTTTATTTTATTTACTCCCTTTTTAATGACAATAGAAGGCTCTAGTTGTGAATCGTGGGCTTCCTGGTAAAGAGATGCTAGAAAGGGGTGGGGGAGAGAGGGAAAAAGAGGAAGAGTAAAATCCGAGATTGGTGGTCTGGGGAAAGAAGACAGAGAAGATTTGAAATCTAGCAAATGCTGGCTATTTTCTTCCTGTCTCTACGGTTCATTAGCCTGTCTTGTCAGTTTTCCTTGGCCGAACGCTTTTAGACCTCAGCGAGCATTGCTTTGTACGAAGATTGCCTGCTGCAAGGGCAATGGGTGTTATTGGATTTAATAGAAAAAGAAATAATAAAATCAGGAGAAGCAGGGAGAGCGAGTGAGTGAGTGAAAGAATGATGTCGTGGCTACTCTGTGTCATCTCTGCCTCTTTTGCTGCCCCTTAGTTGGGGCATCTGAATAGCCTTAAGAGTAGGCCCTGCCCAATATGCGCGGGGCCACTGAGCCTTCCAACTTCTCCTGTTTCCCTGCTCATTCCTAAATTACGCCTGAACTCTTGTCTCCCTGGAATAAGGTGTGTTTTTTCTTTTGAAAGGAAAACAAAAGTGTCATTTTGGTTTAATATGGAGAGGTGATATTAACTAATCAATGCTTCTTAACACTGCAATTAGTGGCCATCGTTCTCGTGTGTTGCGGAAGGTGACAATAATGGGCAACGCTGGTGGCTTAGTTGCAATTACTGCTTCCCTTTGAAAAGAAACAGATTCCACCCCCCCTCACCAAGTTACTTCCTTCTTTATGATCTGTTGTGTTGGAGAGTTCTGAAAGCCATTGGACTGTAGCTCTAGAGAGACTTTTTGTTTGGTTTTGCTGGAAATCAAAGCAGGCAGAGCTCTGTTTTGCGAAGGCATTGCTCAGAATGCTGTCGACTTGATTAAGGAGGCTATTTTATGGCTCAGTTTGGTTCAAGGTGCTCCTCATTTACTGCCCACTCTTTTTAGTGGCCGGGTCCACTCATGAGGATGGGACAGAAGCAACGTGTTGATCAGAGCCATGAAGCTGGACAAAATGCCAGTTTTTGAAAGCTATTCAGTGAGCAGTGGGAGAGTTGCAACCCAGCTGTAATTTTGCTTGTCAGGATCTCATACCCTGCATGTGTACATGGGTGGGCCGGTAGTGGTCTGCTGGCCTTTTTGGACCTTGGAGGGGAGATGGCCGGGATCAGATGTTTCTCTATCCCTGGGCAGGATTGGTGGCCAAGCCGTGAGCCCCTGTAGATATTGCTGAAAACTCGGGCTGTAGCTGAGGAGGGCTGTTGTTGAATCAAAATTGTAATCCAACAAGTCTAACGAGAAAATAGGTTTCTAAAAGCTTCAAAGTGCTTGGTACATAAAGCTATTTGAGCAAATTACAAGAACAGCTTAGGGGCATGAATGAAATCAACACTTTAATTGCCTCCAAAATGAAGATTTATACCCCATTTTCCCCATGAATCATTATTTTATTAAAGCGGAAGCAGAATATGGGAGTTTTGCTGTTGTTATTGTTACTGTTGTTGTTGTGCTCGGGAGCTTGAAGTTATTCACCCGATCCCCCTGCAATTCTTTCCCACCCGCACCCCTCTTTCATTCTGTATCGAGAAGATGATTATAAACTTCCCAAGAGTTAGACGCGGCAAATACGCGCGCGCGCGCGCACACACGTCCACGTACCGAGATCCTTTTAAAATGTTCCGATATTTGTTGTAGCGGCTCATGTGAGCTTTAATGGGCCATCTCCGAACTGTCCCGTTTTTTAATCCCTTCAGGCAGAGAAGTTAAACTGGGTGATGGGTGGCCGAATATTTTCTCTTTCCTTTCTCCCCCAACCCGCCCTGCCGAAGGTTCCTCGCCTTTCGCCTGACATACAGGAAAGACCACTCCGAGCGCAGCGGAGAAGCTACAAGTATCCCTTGGCGCCCGTGGTTACACATTGCGCCTGCGCCGCCTGGTAGTTTGCCCATTTCGCAGCCCGTGTTGCGAAGGCTACAGTGTGTTCCTCGGAGATACCCCGCAAGGCTTGATCCCTTGCTTCCTCAAAAGACGCCGCTTCTCTCTCCTCTCTCTCTCCAGAGGGAGACAGAAGTCCCCTCTTTCTTTGTTACCAGTGTGGCCCAACCACTTTATAGGCAGGTCGCCTTGTCTGCCTTTTAGGCTTGCCTGTGGATGGCAGGTACGGCTTCCCTTCACTGTAGGTCCAGAGCCGGGTTAGCCTACAGTGGCAAAAAATGAAGAGGCCAAACTAAAAGCTTATGCCTTTTAATAAAAGGGGTTACTCATAAAAAGCGCTACCAGCCTCCCTTCAGGTATTCCGCGAACTGCCGGGGTTCGGGGCTCATTAGCTAATTCACCCCTTTGTTTCTAGAGTTTCTTTCTGAGTTTGGTCACCTCTCTTTGCCTGTCTGAGGCGCAGAGCCCTATTGGCCCCTGGGAACAAAAGCGAGCAAGGGGTGGGCTTGGCGGGAGAAGGAGAAGGAAACCCTCCTTTGCTGGTCTGTCAGGGAAGGTGAGGATGGCTGGCCGCCCCCTAGCCAAGCCTCTAGCCAAAGGCGACCTCAGGGACCCAGAAAACAGGTCCCGGGTTCTGCGCTGGCTGGCGCCCCCTTCTGCTCAATTGTGCTCACGGCCCTTTCTAGAGAAGCAGCGGCAACCAAAAAGGCTAAATTGGAGTTGGAGAGTCCAGTTTTGCTTGCCTGGGGTAGTTCTTTGGCCCTCCGGAGACACTAAGTGCAGGTAGAGAAGGCGTTCGAGGGAGAAGATAGTGGGAACTTGGCAGACTTTGGCGGTGAAGGTAGGCGGCAGGGAAGAGCGAAAAAAGCAGCCTTCCGAATCCCTCAGTGACCCCTGAAGACCGAAAGAGACCCTCAGGGCGCAGAGCTGGAGTAGCTTCCAGCAAGAGGTTGCGAGGGCGCCTACCTATCTGTCCTGCATGTGCCCCCCCTCCCCGGAGCACGTCAGCCTTGTCCTGAAGCGCAGTTCACTGAAGCCTTCCTTTTTTTCAGGAGTACATTGGCATGTTTCCGCGGCCCCCCAGATACAGTGTGTGAAGTGGCCCAACTTTCCTGAAAAGGCTCTACTCTTCTGTGACTGTGATGGGGGGGGGGGCGGAATATGTAGCTCTTGCCACAGAAAACTGCCCGCGAGGCTCAGAGATTTACTTCGGGGAGAGGGAAAAGTCAGATGGCTGTTGTGAGGATGTAGGACCTGAGAGGCTCCCGAGGCCGTGCAGAAAAAGGCGGGCTTGCCGGCATAGGGGGCTGCAGGGGAAAAGTGGTAGGCTACCCCCGCTGCCCCTCCTTCAGTCCCCTGCTCACAGCCTCCTCAGTTCCTCTCTCGGGGTGTCCCGGTTTTCTCCAGGAAAAGTGCCCGGAGGCCTGCGAAATGGCGAACAGTGCCTGGTGTTTAAAGGCAGATCATGAGCAAGTTAGGGATGAAGGAAGGGGACCATTTGGGGGGCCTGGCCGAGGAAGGTTTTGCGCCTTGTGGGGGGGGGGAGAAGAGTGTAAGCAACAGAGCTTGGAGGCAGGCAGAGGTCACCCTGCGCTTCCCTTGGCCTCCCGCTGAGGTTTAGTCATGCCCTGACGGCGTGTCCAAGGAAGACAATGGGGCAAGTGGGCAGGGATGGGAAAGCACCGAAGAGGGAAGAAAGGCACCAAAGAAGCCAGCAATTGTGTCTGCTCTCAGCTACACCCGCCCAGCGGGAAAACGTGGAATAGGGAGAGCAAGTGGCCCAGGGCTTGCTCTGCTTTGAGGCTTGAGTAGGCCTTTGTGACTCGGGTATCACTGGTCTGCTGCTATTCAGTGGTGGCAGGGAGCCTCAATGACACCCCGACCTTTCTCTAAGGAACCTTCTACATTGGGAAAGGAAGAGGATTTTATGGGCACACTTTAGTTAACTAGTGTGTGTGTGTGTGCATGTGTTAAATTAAGCCAGCCAACTTTAAGAGAGAATGCTTGCTGCTATGGAAGAGGTTAGGTATGTGTCAGGTAGAATTTGTAACAGTGGCATATTATACTGCAGAATCTAGTGGATGGAATAAAAATCATTGTTGCGTCTCTTTGAATTGGTCATCTGGTTATAGAAAGTGAGGGAAATTCACTGGACTTGAGTATTGTGGCAATTCTGTTAGCTCAGCACATTGACTTTCAGAGCCTAAAATAATTTTTAGGAAATAACTTTTTGATAACTCCAGAATAAATACTTTTTTTTAAAAAAAGTGAATTTAAAATATCTATACAATTTTAATCAAAAGATGACTATAAAATTGAGCATTTAGAATTGAGAATGGTGATGGAGAGAGTTAATTTCTAAGAAATTGACTGATTCCCCCCCCCCACTTGTATGTCTATCTATTGCTTTTAT